ACCCACTGATATTATTTATGAAATTAAACAACCATTCCCAGGAAGTTTTTGAAGTTTTCATAAAGGTCAGGTTTAGTATATGTCTTTACATAACTACGATAAAGGGATGTTATGAAAAAAATATACGACTATATAGACTTGTTACAATATCAGTTACTACCCAATTTAAAGACATGCGTACCTTTAACACTAACATATCAGTAATGAAATACATAAGAACGCATATAAAAAATACAAATTCTCATGTTCTTAACTAACTTCCGTAGAAAATACGGTGATATAAGTATGTCTGCGTCTTTGGCGCAGTGTGTAGCCTTGATAGATTTATATAAATGGTATATTGATATCGATAGATTCGATTGTATGAGTATTAACAAGCTACATGACGATAATATAAAATGAACAAAATGGCCATAAACTGTCAAAAACATATTTAAAGTTGGGTTTTTATTTGGACGACCACTTGTTTTATGGTGATTAATTTATTAATGTAACTTTCCATCCTAATTAAATGTCATGAAGGTTTTCTTTAAATGGAAAATATTACCGTTTCTATTTTAATAAATTATAATCAAAGCTAAAAGATACATCTGTGTATGCTTGTTTGTAATCCCAGATGTAGCAGCTAGGGACAATTTGCCTACCGTTGTTTCTGCAGTAAACACTCAACCTACATTTTATCGAGCAGATTAATATTCTACATGACAAAAAGCACTCATACTACCGGCTTTCAAATTAATTAAGTTTCACACGTAATCATAAAATTAATCGGAAAAAATGACGGATGTTTTTATTAAGAGCTACACTTTATAATACTGATCTTATTAGTCGAGATATCTAATAGGTACCTATAGAGATTTTTTTAATGAAATTTAGAATGGCAAACAAACTGACGGCCCGCTGTAGACTATTCTATTATAGAATGTATATAGAATATTCCATGATATCCATGGTGGGGTATTATGGATATTCCAAAGAATGACAATGCTTAAAAATTACGCGTTCCCATCCTTTAGAACTATGGTGTTATACAGCTGTTCTTCTTCCTTCGAACAGAAACAACCATACAAGCACTATTTTACAGCAAAAGTACAGGTGGAACAGTGGTACACAAGCATTCGACTTTTGTAGTATCAATTGTCATATATTATATGAAAATGCTTACATAAGTATGCGATATCTGACGGTAGAAGCTAAAGGTTTTAGGATGGAAGGAGGATGTGTAATAAAGAGAAAGAAGAAAAATATTTATTGGCCATAGATATTTTGTTAAAGCATGAATATATGGATAAAACTTTCTCTCTCCATCCACATCACAGAAGAGGATTTGGCTCTTCGCCAGTTTCTTTGATTTTATGGATTTCGAGTTCGTTTATAATTAATATAACTGTACATAAAGAAGTTTGGGATAGAGTAGTTAAACATAGAACCAATAAATACTGCCCTTCTAGTTATGCTCATAGCAAGCCTCGAGTATTATATAACAAGTACATGTGAAGGGAGTAGAGAATATGTGTAAGTACAGCACTAAGTAATTTCGGTTCGATTTTATTTCTCAAAAGTTTGAATATTTTAAGATGAATCAGGTATGTCAGAGCTTTGATACATTGTGAATCCTAAATGTATCTACATATCTGTATTATAATATTCGTCTTAATATTATGAGAGTGTTGCAAGTCACAATAATGGAAGCATAAAATTAATATAGTAATTTAAATTTTGTTATAGTCGGGGTTTTTATGGCACGTTTATTTGTTTGACTAGCAAACGACTTCACAGCTTCCAGCGAACGAAAGGAGTCATTCAAGAACATGACAATAGTAGTGAAGAAATTGTTCTCTTCTCAGTTGATTGGTGATTGGTTTGTTGGCTCACCAAATACTTTGACATGACAGTTGGACACACTAGTGTGGCAGGTTCAATATTTTTTATTGTTATTTAACTAATATTTATTAAAGAAAAAGTTTAGTTACTTTGATAAAACATTCCCTTAAAATGATTTTAACGATTCAAATTCTATGCATATTTATTTTAAAGTCGACAGTTATCTACATTGACATAACTTTTCATAGTTCCTTGTTCCCTATTTTCTTCTCCATTTATTCGTAGATGGATGTTAATCCTGTTTTTATTCTAAATTTTATTATATCTACCGATAAAGTGTATGTTTTAAATACTTCTTCTGTAACTAGCTATTAGAATACTATAACTGTATAACATAATTATGAATTCTCAATTCAAGGAAATATATAAAGAAAATACAATAAGTTGAACACCATTCTTCATGACGTATGCCCTTGCCGTCAAGGACACTGGTCGAATGAACTAAACCGAATACGAATAACTTTATACTTATTAACTATATTTTTGCTATATTGTAACTAAACCAAATTTCATACAAATTCGTTTAGCCGTTTAAGCGAGGTTATATAATAAACAACCAAGCATTGAACTTTTATATTACTAATACTCACTATATTCTGTAGCTTTTTTCATATGAATTCTGATAAAAAAGTACCCTAATATTAAGCTAATACAAGTCTTTTGCTCGAAAGAAAATAACAAACTTCTAAACATCTTACCAGAGGAAGACTTAATACAGAACTCTTCTATTTAAATATTTCTGTCCTACTCGTGTTTTGATCGCTATGTTATATATCGCTGTATTTGTATTGCTGTAAATATATTTGAAAGGTAGGATGTAACAAGAAATTACAGGATACAGAAACATAAATTATTAGCCCTCAGTTCTTTTTTTAACTACGAAGATAGCAAACAAGCGTGCCTATAAGTGACACTTGCTCCTTTCCATCAGGTGGGTCATCATCAGCATTTTTTTGTCATTCAATATTGTATAACAAAAGTTTTATATTTTATGTATTTATATTCTTTTTCCTTTATATTTCTATATGTATATTATAACCAGTATTTTGTTATTAAATTTTTTTATGTTGTATTTATTAAGTGTTTAGCTTATTATCATTACTTATTCTGTTCACTGTTTATGCCAAAGGTTGATTCAATTCAATTCAATTCAATTCAATCATTTATTGCTATTACATGTTGTAACAATATTGGTCTTAAGTTACTAAAAGTATAGAATCAACATGAACCCTGGATAGATAGAGATTGATAGAGAATGTTACTAGCATTAAAACAACTTTTACATTAAGATAGTAAAGGTTTTTAAATAAATATCATTTGTTATATTAATAGAATTTGCAAGATAAAAAATTATATATATACATAAAATTATGTCATATTCGTAGTTATTATTTAATTACACGAAAAGTTTCGTGACCAAACAAAAGAAAGGTAACGAGCCATAACGAGCATACATTTTACATTTGACGTAGCTACGGCTACGCCTCGTAGCTGTAGCGTAGCACGCTCGTTACTTCGTAGCGCACCCGCAGTCTTTCACTGCATTCACCTGTTCCATGAGATTCAACACATAACAGCAATAATAAACTATTAAATATATAAATCTTAGTAATATATTATACTATCAAACACATGGGAAATCAAATTATTAAAATAATTTATTCATATAAACATGTTTGGCTTTATTCGATACTCTGCAATTATAAATGCAGGATAGAAACGAAAAGTGGTCTGGTTAAATAAATACATATACTATACAATATATATATATATATATAACATTTGGAGATCAATGGATACTTTAAATAGCTATGTCCTACCATAGTAATAATACCATATATACATACCATAGTAGAAATTATTTTAATATGATTCTATATATTATATGTAATATAGACCATGGTATTAAAAGACATAAATGCTGAATGGAAACAATAACTAAGGGTTAAATTGATGAACTGTAGAAAATCGATGATGAATTAATATTTTTTATGCAACTTAGTATTGCAAACAAGCTGGTGGAAAATGGTAATTGTCGTCTATAAATCTCAGACAGGTCCAAGAATATTGTAATGGTTATACACTGTGACATCCATATTGCCTTTTATGCGTTGCTATTTCTAAAGATTACGGCGTATTTACCTACATTTAAATCGAAGTACAGCTGTGACAGTACAGCTGCTTGGTGGCAGAAATGTGAGTGGAACACATATACCCAAATGATTAAAACAGATTATCTTGATTTGGATAAATTGATTCACAGTATAGAGCTACAATAGCATCACTTTCTACATTACCTACATAAAAAATCAAATCTATTGACTTGAACTGTTTATAGTATTATTGTATTCTATAAAATTAAGAGAAATTGACTTAATAAAGCTTAAAGTCATTCAATTAAGAAAGCTTTAATTGTTGAAATTATGTTTTCGTATTCACATGCAGCTTCGAACAGTGAATGGGCGACAGAATAGCTACGCTTTACGTAACAGACAGACACCCTTTACACCAAATTTAGTTCTGTTGTAAACTGAGTTTACTTAAGTAATTACGTCGCAGATAGTGCATTGCAGGAGAGATTACCACTAAATGGTTTTATTGTAAATAGATACATACACATAAGTATAGACGATGTGAACGTATCACTAAATAGTTCTTTTATGCTTTTGTATGTCAATACATTATATACAAATACATTGCGGCAATAATATCGATCTACAATTATCTTGTATGCTGTCAGAAAATATAGTTTTGTAGTACACTAATGCGTGATGAACGACGTATATATTAGTGGCCTGACGAATGGTTACATCATAATGTCAGTGTTTTATCGTATAGAGGTTAGCAAATAACAGAATATTGAGCAGAATAAAGCACGACAGCGACAGCAGACGCAGCGGCGACGGTGGCGGCGGCGACGGTAGCGACGGCAGCGGCGACACAGTGCCGCAGCCAGCGCGGCGTCCTTGCCTCAGGTAATACGCGCGAGTCACGCGAGCGAGGTCGATAGCGGTCGCCGGACAGCCTCCGCTTCAATTATTCAGCACGCGACCGCTACCGTCGCCACCTCCACGCGCCCGGACAAAGGCGAGCGCGCGCACTGCGACGACACCTACCAGCCCACCGGCGGTCCGCACCCAGCCGCGTCGTATCCTCGCAACGGAGCCAGAAACCAGTGGAAATGTAGCACACTTTTCCCGAAACACTCTAAACCTTATCCGTTTGCGATGGGCGATGAAGGCGCGCGCGGTGGTCGCGCGTTACGTAAAGGGCGCGACGTTGCGCGTGTCAGCGCGTGTGGCGCGCTCGCGGCGGGCGCTCGGGGCGGGATCGCGCGCGGAGTGCCGCCACACAGTTATGCAACGCGCCGCCACCGTCGCCCGGATGGGGAAAATCGAACGCGAGGGGCGCGGGCCAGTGCGCACGCAGCCGCATCGATAGCGGAGCCCCCGGCGCCCGCCGCCGCCCGCCCGCCGTGGCGACGGCTCGCGCCGCAGCGCCGCCCTCTCACGCCGTCCGCCAGTCCTATCATCCGCAGTTGACATTACAGCAATGGGAGCAAACAGCTTTAGACGTGCGCAAGTTCCTTAAACGTTACTTACCAACAATTGTTATGTACAAAGGAGTACACGAAAATAAACAATATCTTCAAAAATTTTTGAAAACTAATAAAACATTAGAACTAACTAGTGAACATGTGTGATACTCGTAGATCATTTTGAAAAATGTTCAAACTAGTAATAATTGTAGTAGCAAGATGATAAAATTTTCGATCTATGTAGTATCCTACAACAAGTAAAACTTTATATACTCGTAAACTATATATACTAGAATAATGTGAAAGAAACTCAATTGTTCATCATTTCAGAAAAAAAATTATGATTTTGCGTGAATACAAATATTATCAAATACTTAGTATAAAATCATAAGAAATCAAGATATAATACACAATATGTTAACAAAATAAGTAGATCTAATTATGAACGGATGTACTGATTTACATATATATATATATCATAGTAACAGACTAGTAAACACGTAGTATCCGTTCAGAAATATTACGGATAAATAAGCAGTCATTGCTTTTAACAACCATTTTAGGAAGCCCAATAATCCCGATCACCACGCCGTACCAGAACTATGCAACGCAGAATTTAACTCAGATACAAGACAATTTAGAAGTCGATTTCTAAATTGAATTTACTAAAAAACTTTCCATCATACGAACTTCAGCTTGTTTGTCTTTCCAAGTTGTCTAAAAAATGCAATCTGCAGTAACCGTTACATATATATAATTTGAGCATATTTTTTTTGATAATGTTAAATTTTATACATTCCTATGACTATTCTGGGGTTTAAAACTTTCTTTTACAATGTATATACTCATAGAATTTCATAATATAAACAGATACATAAAACTACTTTCACGTTCATATTATATAACAACTTTAATTTTTTTTTAACTTTATTCTTACAATTTTTTTTATACTACTGAGGTGGCAAACAAGCATACAGCCCAGCTGATGGAAAGCGGTTACCGTAGCCTGCAATACCAGAGGTATTACGCACGAGTTGCCGACCTTGAAGAAACCTCTTTACCCCCCTTTTGAAGAACCTCATGCTGTAGTCTCTTGGGAAAACCTCGGTAGGGAGCTGTACAACAACAAGCTGTATCCGTGGCTTCGCTCGCGTAAACCAGTATATAAAGTTTGTACTAAATTAGGATATAACCCATCCATATATTTAATTTCATTGAAACCCTTTTTTTTTGCGTGAAAGACTAACACGCATCCATTTTTATAAACTTCCGCATCCGCAAGAAAGAGCGAGTTTATTTATTTATTGACTCAACCAATCGTCACGGAAATTTAGTATACACGTAATATTTGGGATGGAGAAGGACATAAGCTACATTTAATTCCGACCAATCAACGTTTTTCGGTCACGAGGTCAAAGTCGCAGGTAAAAACTAGTTAAAATCAATAAAATAAAAGTTAACTAAAATGAGAAATTTCTAAACAAAGCACTTATACCTAACCTACATATTTACTAGTAAACCAACTACTTCAAGGAAGATAAAATCTATAACTGACGCCAAAAGTGCCGAAGGTCATCTTATGACCTTATTACAATATAAGAGCCATCTTAAAAAGGAAAGACTTTGTTTAATTTGGTTCAAAAATGACCTTCATTATCAATCTATCATTGTAGTTTTTTATAAAGTTTATAAAATAAATATGTAAATAAATAATCTACATCAACAGTATCAGCATTTTATTTAGATTATTTTTAATATTCTTCATATATGTCCGGACTATAAAAAAGTTCATAAATACCGATTTGGAGTTACGAGAGAGAAATTAAGTACAAAATGTATGAAGTGTTTTACGGAAAATTGAATAATTGAATGATGCGCTTTAAGAGGATACTAGTCATGTGAACACGGGCAATTATTTACTTAGAACAATCATGTTTAAGTACTTATCTCAATTAGGATGAATGAAGTGTTCGTGTTCACGTCTTACTAAACAAAGGATGAGTATTTGTAAATTAAATCATTAACAAATGCGTTGTTTGTATGAATTCGTAAGGCGAGTTGGTAGTAACATAGTAACATGTATGTCGTGAAACATGATTCCGAAATGCCAAACCCTCAAAGGTCATACCCTAATTTTGCAGAATCGATGAAATACGTAGAGTGATATTTTATTTCTCATAAATTTTACCATAAACTGTCCAAATGTATCATTTTAACAATATTCCTTTCGTTACTTTAAAAACAAGTTTTTATTTCCTTTGGTTACGAAATATCGGAAAAAAATTCATAATAAATGCATTGCATGCGAACCCATATCGCTCACTTCTGCGAGATCGAGTTGCTGGAACATCAAATTTTTCAACCTATCTTCATCATCATCATCCTACACTTATTCCAATTATGTGGGGTCCGTGTAATATAATTTTATTTATATTAAACAAGGTTTTAGCTTTTGGTTTTACGGCCGTCTGCCTGATGTCAACCTTCATTGGAAATGCATTTTTTGGTAGTATCCGCCTTCTACGGTATGGAGAAAACGATTGAGGAAAAAGGAGGGGGACATAAAAAACGAATTAAACTTCTTAATTAACTTTATTATTTATAAGTTTCCTAAATTATTCCGATCGGGGATTGAACTTGAGACCTTATTTACGAAAGGCAGCAAGACTACCACAGCACCACGGGGGGAGGAAGGGATTTTTAGTAATATGGACTATACCCTGAAATATACCCTGTCAGGTAAACCTCCACGTGGTCTCCACTGGAAACCATCGTGCTGAATTCCAGATGTGTTCATCACGATGGGCTAACTGACCTGTCTTTTCATTTATACTTTTCATCTCTCACTGGTACTCCAGCCCAGCGTATACCGTTAGCGGAGGCGATCCAGTATCATAAAAAAAAACACTGTACCATAAAGGTCGGCGAATTATTGTAGTTCTATTAATATACTTCTCGTTTCCAAATTCAAATAAATATCTACTAAGTATACCTGTAAGTCGTAAAACATTTTGAAAGAACATTTTAACAAAGTTAAATTGCCTGCTTACATATTTCGTACATCTTGGTTTGATACAGAAAATATTGACTATTTTATACATTATATGAACAACATGCAAGATGTTTTATACGAACAGTTTGGTCGAGAGTCGAGATGCCATGTAATGCCATCTATTGTGACAGAGGGTCATCAAGTAACAACTTTGCCGTTCAGTGTAATCAAAAGTACGAGGCACGCTCTCAATGCCAAGTAGGTACCGGAGAAAAAGTCGTTTTAGTTTTTCCTGAATAAGACAGAAGGCTACGGTAAAAAATAATTTCTTATCACTACTGCGTTAAAACTATCATATATATTTACTGTTTATGTACCCGATCTGGATTTACAATTTGAATATCCACAAGTGAACATAGTCTTGCCACATAGATTGTCACAAAGAATGGTTCTCAATATTTGTGAAGTCATTATTATTGCCTATACTATATTAATGGATGGTAATGGAATAGATAAAGGTAAAACAAGCCATTTGGCTTATCATAATAAATTGTTCACGAATGAATTATACTATTGTTTCTAGGGGGAACCAGTTGGAGGTCAACCTGATGGATATATAGTTAGTAATAGAATCCCTAGAATAATTATACTAACAATCCCTTCCCCCTATACTGTGTTAACATGTACTCGAGTCGCTGCATAAGCGCCATTCTCATCATTAATTATAATTTTTTTACTTTGTGATTAATTTTAAGATAGAACCTTCCAAATTAATTCGTAAATAAATAAACTAATAAAATTTTAACATAACTTTTTTATTAACCATACCATCAGAATATCTTTCATTTTATAAAGAAAACATACATACATATAAATAACAGACCACACCTTACAGATAAAAAATCACAGTTTACAATTACTGACCCATCAGAAAAATCACATTAAAAGATCAACACTATCCACCTGTTCATTGAGACATTTTCTTTCTTCACCAGCATTAAATACTGAATCGTCACGAAAGAGATATCAAAGAAATAATACTGCTCAACTGTTCCTTTAGTGGTTGCCTTCCTTCACCGTTATTAATTACTAAATCCCATTCAGTGTAATCATCCAGGTCACACTCTGAAGCCACATCATCCACACCAGATTTGAACTGGTAGCCTCTAGCGCGTCTAGTATCATCGTCCGCACATATTCTAATTGTTTTTATTATATCCTTATATGTTTCTTTAAACCACTGGATGTCTGTTTTTCGTCTTATATCGCTGACAATCCATATTGGTTTGTCTGCAGCTGTAATAAAAATAATATGTAAGAAATTAGTATATAGTATTGTAGCTTATCTAATAATACCATGATCTGTAATCTTCAAAGCTTGTAAGTACGAATCTGACTGACATCGAAATTTCATTTTATTTAAATTTCTAATTCTCCAGCAAGGGGAAACACCATTAACCCTCCGCCAACTGTATAGGACAATATCGTCCGCGCCAAGGTTGGACCTGATTTACATCTTTGTAAGAAAAAAAAGGAAAGGGCCCCGAACCACTATATTAAAAAAATTTTCACACGCATGTACCTCACAGGCAAGGTTTTGAAAGGCGCTTATATGAAAAATAAATCTCCAAAACATTTCTTCTTAAAACAAATTTAAATCCAAGATATAAATTTTTTAGAGAAATCTTAGAAATTACGATTTTTGTAGAGATTACAAAATTTTATTTCACCAGGGGGTAAAGTATTCAAGTTAAAAACTATAGAAGCAGAAAAAATAAATCTAAAACATATTCCCCGAACTTTTTTGCAATTCTTCCCTGCCTTAAAGTAGGTAAAATTTTCGTCTAGGATGATATCGTCCGTAACGGTTGATGGTGTGCAAAAAAACACACGGTTGACGGAGGGTTAACAAAGTAAATTAGTTCCAAAAACAGCAGTAAGCTAGTTCGTTTAATTCTAATATACTCGATGGAATGTCTACATATGGACTAATATGACCACTTTTATCTCCATTATTATATCCAGAATATGATTCATTAAACCAAATTTCATTAAAATCAAATCAGTTACTTTAACTTGATTCTGACAATTATAATATTAAGAGGAAAATTTATTTTATTTGCATCCAAACTAAAGTGGCATCAAGTGAAACTTCATAATCCAATATGAAACTTCAATACGAAAATGTTTTAATAAATTCATATAATTATAAAGTAAAATAAGTAAAATATTTTAAAATATAGTACATAGTATTGTATTCAATCCGACCCTGTAGTAAACCAGTCTAATTTTTTTTAATACAAGGTGGTTGTTTAATACAAATAATACAAATTAAATCAACTACAGCTCAATAATGTTATACTGGCATTGGTCTAGTATAAATCTATGATTAAAGGACTATTTTCCTAGTTCAATAGCAATATTTTCTGAATAATATTTCCCTATAGGACAGGATACAAACAAAAATCATACAGATATTTCAATATTCACTAATAAATATGAAAGTCTTTGGGCAGTATTAAATTTGGACTGTTAATGTGAATATAATACTCAGGCTACTCAAACATGGTAAAAAGACACAATCACCTTCATACAAGTTGAAAAAATTAACTTGTGTATTTATTCTAGAGAAAAAAGAAAGTTATTTAAAAAATTGTTACAAGTTTTTAAGGAAATGAACTCACAGTTTATATTTTAAGGTAAATTTGTTTTAAATAGATTCAATGGACTGCATTTCAGTTTTTAATGGCCTGAGTAATACTCAATTAATTAAATAGGATAATTAATACTCAATTTATTACCATTAAAATGTTTTAACAGTAATATAATGAAAATTTTAATGGTAATTTATAATGGATAGTATGTAATAAAATTAAATAAAAACCACTGAAAATAATAAACTATACTGAGTTGAAAAATGTAACCTTTAAATCTAACTTTAGAATCTGAATCCTCATCGCTCAACTATCCAGGCTCAATGTGGTCCAAGTAACACAACAATATGAATACTAATAAATGAAGTAAAATCTCTCATCCACCACTAAAAAGATGTTTTAAGTATAATTATATTAATGATACAATACCCATAATTACCATTTAAACAAGCCTGTTTACAAAAACAACCATAGTCTTTGTCTCTCATTGCCTCGCTCCACTTTATCATATCCAATCGATACTGTTCTTTATACTCATTGTCACTCAACAGCTCATTAAGATTCAAATTGTTTTCTCTAGCCCAATGGCTTTTTATAGGCTGTGATATTTTTAAAATTTCACAACGATCTTTAAGCCTACAAAAGTAAAATTCTGGTACTTTTGGTACAATAATTGGATAATTTATTAAATGACCTATGACTTATTTATACTTGGGTTGATTTAGAAAAAAAGAGCACATAACTTTCCTCAGAATATTCAAAATATTCCAATATCTTCAATAAAAATTTCTTTGACTATTTTGTAAAAATGGCACTTTCCTATTGGAAAGTATTAGTAGCAGATTACTGATTAAAATTTACTATAGACACTTAGTATTTCTAATACCCATTTAGACAATGAAAAAAGTAAATAAATTCTTACTTATATGCATAAAAGAAAAACATTTCTGTAAATTATTTAAAAATAATACCAAATGTAAAACAGCTGTATAAACAATAATTTTCATTTTGATAGGGTAACCAAAAGGAATTGCTTACAGTTCTTGTAAATGATCAGTCAAAAAGTCCTTCCCTGATTTTCGTTTCCCGCTGAACAATAAAATTACTTTTGGTGACATTTCCTACAGACTGAAACAGTAAGTCAATGTTTTAACTGTAACGACAAACTTAAATACTTAATGATTTATTATTCATAAGATATCAAACAACTAATTAAACTTTTGGCTAAATAAATTATAAAAGCGAAGTTATTAACACGAATTTAATAAATGATACAATATTACTTTCTTTAAACTAAAACAACTTTCTTTAAAGTAAAACAAAGTTACAGTATCTTTATAGCATATGTAATCCTACGAAATATTTTATAATAAGAGATTACTATGAGGGTATAAACTTACAAATTGAACGACTTAAAATGACACTAAGTAAAATAATATTTAATTATCTATTAATTCATTATTAAAATGTAAACTTAGCAAATCAACACAAAAGGTGCGGACTTGATTGACGCACTATTGACTTTGATATTGACATTGAAGTGGCCAGACTGACAGATGAATGACTGCTAAATACCAACTTTGATTATCCTTAAATTCTTTCCTAAGTTTCTAAAAACATTTCACCATGATCTGTATTTAAATTGATAAATTTAGTTTAATTCATTATTTCTCAGTATTATGGTTTAACTTTGCTAAAGATGTTTATTAGAGAACATATTTTAGATAATATTAAAATAATTACGTTTCATTCCAATAGATGGCAATATGATAAATATGAACTAATAATTTTTAAAATGTTTCACAGATGCCACTACCTGCTTATTTAGTATTACAGTAAATAAGTACATTATACGTTTGAAAAGCTTGTATAACGTATTTTTTAATGGATAATAATGGAATTGTAATCCCACCTGTGCTAATCACCAATGAGTTTTGCCCCGCCGATGTATACCGATAGCGCGGGCGGGGTAACCATTCCATTATCATCCAATCACCAAAGAGTGGTGATAGATGAGAATGAAACCAGACTAAACCAGTAATCTGGACTACTAGTTCCATTGCTAGTTTTTTTTTTAATGGGTGATAATGAAATAGTAACCCCACCCGCGCTATCGGTATATACCGGCGGGGCACCAATGAAGGATGATAGGTGAGAATAAAACAGATCAGTTAGCCCATCGTAATGAATTCAACAAGAATTGCTCACGATGGTTTCCAGGGGGAACCACGTGGAGGTCGACCTAATAGGGTATATTGCTAGCAATGAGACTGTCAAACTCCATTGCTAACAATCCCTTTCCCCCCGTTCCATTGCTAGTAATATATCCTGTCAGGTCGACCTCCACGTAATTCCCTTCGGAAACCATTGCACTGAATTCCAGGTGTATTCATCACGATCGGCTAACTGACCTGCCGTTTCATTCTCATCTGTCATCCTTCACTGGTGTCCCGCCAGTTAGGATAACGGTATACCGTTAGCGCAGGTGGGGTTACGATTTCATTATCATTCATTAAAAAAACACTTACCTAATATAAAAAGAGTGGGGGGCAAGGGCTTGTTAGTAATGGGGTCTAACTCCATATTCCAAATCCAAAAGTCGAAAATCTCATAACTAGCAATTCACTCTATCAAGTCGACCTCCATGCGGGTCCCCCTAGAAACTACTATAGCATGGTGAATTCTAGTAGAATTGGTCTTGATTGACCTACTTTCATCGTCCCCTAACATCCCTCACTGGTGCCTCTCCAGCATATACCAATAGCACAGGCGGGGTACCATTCCATTATCACCTAGTAAAAAAAATATAAAAGAGGTACCAATATATAAAATTAAATTACTGCTTTTATATACAAATTAAAAATATTGCTTGAACTTTAATAGTAGCTACTTAGGTTTTCACAGTTTGACATGAAATATAAAAGATTTTAACGGCATAATTTAAAAAGGCAATGTCGCTGTTTAAAGATACTTTTACACAGGGTGGAAAATATACATTTATTAAGGATATTTTATTTACATATATAAAAAAAATTATGACATTTGAAACACGAAATTCTATCGTTATCGTAACGTATACATATATGTAATATACTATACAAATCTATATACTATATAAATACTAGTGTCCGATCGAAACAAGGTTTACAGCCAAAACCGAAGCCGAACTTTCGATCTTGGTCTCAGTTTCGGCCGAAACCGAAACTTACTCAAAATTTTAAAATTTTTCTTCTATACTGAAATCTAGTGTATTTTTTTACACAATTATTTACACAAACACACAGATAGTTAAAGGGTAATAATAAACACTAACTAAAATATGTAACAAATATGTCATATATATTTATATGTAAAATATGTTAAAATTATGACTTACTCTTAGAAGTAAACTTAAAAAAAAACAACTTTCAGTTAGACACACACACACAAAACAAACACACACAAAGTTTCAGCGCGGCCGAAAGCTTCGGCCAAATTTTAGCCGAAACCGAAACTAAGGCCGAAAGTAAAATTTCTGGCCGACACTAACCGAAACCGAAACCGAAAGTTCGATCTAAAATAAATATTATATCCCTTTAAAGAAAATGCTGATAATTTGGTAGCACCCTATATATGTATATATGTACATATGTTTTTTAGTCAATCACGACTGAACGGATTTGAAAGAAATTTGGTACATGTAATAGCCTAACTTAACACATGGGATATCTTATGTTTCGTTCATCATCATCAAATCAGCCAATAACTATTCACTAGTGAACATAGGATATATTGATTATATTTTACTTAATATACCTACTGATTCACGCGGGCAAAGCCGCGGAAAACACTTAATAAGTAGTAAATAATAATAAATAATAAATAATAATATTTAATTTTATACAACTGATTCGATACATACAGCACGATTCAAGTATACACATAGATCTCACACAACGTGATGGCTTAACAACTAGAACATATTAAATCTTAAGATCAGACCAGAAAAATAAAGAAAGTACACTAGTTATTCTGTGAAACAAATAAATGACAATCGCCACCCACCAATGTTAGTTTTTTACATCAAAATAGACAGTACAAAAATGAAATGAAATGTATCTACTTTGTAACACCAACGCCAAGTAACGTGAGGGTAGTTATATATATATATATATATAATACCCATTAACATCGTCATATCGGCGGTATCCTTTGTAGCTGCCTCACGTAGACATGTGAGCATAATTTCTATTCGTGTTCGTGGCGGCAAACCGCATGTTAACCCGAGCGTACCTTAAATGCCTATATGCCGACTAGGTATGTCAGCTAATGTTCTAACACCACTAAAAGCTAATACCTACCTACTATCTACTTCCGCCTATTAATTCTGTTCCTTGAATTCTTACAATGTGTTCAATTAGCGCTGTTGGCATATTACTTAAGCAGAATTGATAAGTATCATAGCTACCTAATAATAAATCCTGCTGCCTTACTAATATTAGAAACATAATAATAATTTATTAGTCATTTACACATAAACAGCTGCTTAGAATTGAATGAAATTTGCTATACGGATAGATTATGTTCTGGATTAACATATATGTAGGATAGAATTTTATACCAATTAGAAAATAGTTGCGGGATACGGTTACTAGACATTATTGATGCAAGACAAAATTATTGTTTCTTATCGATTCAGATTTTTTTATGTTTTAGGTAATTATTCAATTTTACTGGTAGAATAAATGGCACTAATTGTTTTAATATTAGCTTTCAGTTGTATCAATATATAATATATTCCCATTATAATTTTTTTTTTTATATTTATCTTACTAACCCATTTTTATTAATGGATGACAATTGAATGGTAATTCCGCCGGCGCTAACGGTATACGCTGGGAGGAAAGGGATTGTTAGTAATGGAGACTGAGAATCTCATTGCATGCAATACACCCAACCAAGTCGACCTCCTCGCGGTTCCCCCTGGAAATTATCATGGTTAATTCCTGATGAATTCATCATGATGGGCTAACTGGCCTGTTTTCATTCTCATCTATCACCATTCACTGGTGCTCCGCCAGCGTATCCCGTTAGCGCAGGCGGTTACTATACTATTTTCACCCATAAAAAAACGGTATACGCTGGCGGGGCATCAGTGATAGATGATAGGTGAGAATGAAAAGGCAGGTCAGTTAGCCTATCGTGATGAATATATCTGGAATTTAGCACGGTGGTTTCCAGGGGGAACCACGCGGGGTCGACCTGACAAGGTATACTGCTATCAATGGGACTGGTAGTCCGCATTACTAACAATCCCTTTCCCCCTTACTAACTCATAATGTGCCCACTGGTAGGCACCGATCCCTCTTCCTAATAGGAAAATAAAGTCTACTATCACCATATTGGCCAGGTTTTGTTTATACAACTTAGAATGGCAAACAAGCTGACGGCCTACCTGATGTAAAGTGGTAACCGTCGCCTATAGACATTAGCAGTACCATGGACATAACAGAGTATACTGTTTCGCCCATGATACCCCCCATGCGTTGCCATTCCTGAGGTCTCAGGTGTTATTCCTCTGTACTCAGTAAATTCACGCCGTATCCCACCCTTCAAACCGAAACACAGCCATGCAAACACAACTGCTTCACGGTTTTTTTTTTCCTATTTTCATTGGTTCGCGGTGGTATAATATGCTAACATATGCGGTGACGATCGCTAATTGCTCATATATGTGGTTGCGCTGATGTCGACGGGAGGGAGAGCTTCCGCTATTAGATACGTGAGCTTCTCCCACCTATTTACTGCTTCACGGTTGAAACACAAATGGGACAGAGGTACCCATGCAATCGACTTTTGTACAGTGTCTCCCTTTGGCAATAGGAGGGAAGGGAAGGGATTATTAATATTAGGGACTAAAGACTCCATTGCTAGCAATATACCGAACCAGGTCGACCTCCACGTAGCCTCCCCTGGAAACCATCGTGCTGAGTTACAGGTGTCATCACGATAGGCTAACTGATCTGCCTTTTCAGTCTCACCTATCAGTTTATGATTAGTTTCCATCGATATTTATTATTATGTACTAGCGTTTTGTTTACTATTACGTTTGTTTCGTACGCGTGGATTTCAGAAGCAAGAAAATTAAATAAACAGATGACGTATCAAGATAAAACATATGCCATATTTTAAATTAGACGTCCAATAACACAATTGTGAAAAATGCATCCAATTTAATGAAATACGAGTAGTTTCTACGTGATGTCATAACAAACAAAGAGACAAAATTTCAAAACAATATTATAATAGCTTATGTTGCTCTTATTAAGACACCTCAAATAAATTTCTCTAAAATATCTCCCATGTTTAGACATCGTCTAGTTATAATTTTATTATACTAGTAACATTATTTCATTTTCACGACCTGACACGTTCTTGACCTGGTGGGTGCTATTACTGGTTGTCTTTAGTTGGGACTAGATGGCGCTGCGTGATATATTGAGTGCAAAATATTAGGGCATTTTATAAGTTACTATTTCCCGCGTAAATTAGTT